ATCTTTTTCTTAATAGTAATAGTGTTATTCGAACCAGAATCCAAAACACTATTATTTTATAGTGTTATTTTCAAGCTTGTGATTTCAGATTTTCATCTTTTATTTCGGTATTTGCAGAATATTTATATTTCTAGCGCGGCCCATGAAACCATAGTTAATAGAATAGATGGTTTGGAAACTCATTAGAATAACAATATAACTCATTATCTATGTTAGTCAACGTTTATTCATAAATCTGGTCCTTCACCGTCACGTGTGTATTGTATTTCTGCCAAATCCACCAATAGCAATTTCCAATTTACCCTATTGTTTGAGTCAAGGATAGCTAACTTTCCTAAGACATGGCTATTGGTTTGTTGGTCAAAAATACAATACGCACGTGACGGTGAACGACCAGATTTATGAATAAACGTTGACTAACATAGATAATGAGTTATATTGTTATTCTAATGAGTTTCCAAACCATCTATTGCATTAACTGTGATGAAACTTACATCAAAACAATGCGCTGTTTAAGTAAATCGTAGGGGTCTGAAAAACCGTCTGTCAAAGTACTCCCTGTGCCAAGGTCTGCACGTGCATCGATCAGGCTATAAAATATGGCCAAGCATCAACGTGGCGCGTGCGTGCTAGTAAAAGTCTGATATTTTGATCAAACTAAATATTTCTACTCTGTGCCGTCTTCAAACGAAACTTTGTACATGAAAGCGCTTGAATATAAGACGTATTTTATTCACATTGACTTTGAACAAATTTTGAAGAGTTTAGAAGATATTCAAGTCTTTCTCCTTATGAAATACAGAATGTTTGGCCAAGCGGTGAGTAAATATATTATTATTTTCGTTTGTGTAATGTTTTTACGGCATTTGCGCCCCCCCCCCCCCGCCGCGCTCCCGCATGACTACAATGGTGCTTTTCGTTTTAATGGGGGCAAACAGCCATAATTTTAGGATCGGTGATGACCACCCACCCAACACCGAACCACGCACGGTAACCAACGCCCACGATAATTGATGAACTTTCAACTTCGCTAATGGTTTCGTTTCCCCGGGTGAAATTAGTACCCTCGTTCCGGGTTTACGCCCGGAACGGTGCTTGGCGCCGTTTGCTCGGGGATTAAGAATTGAGCGGAGTTGTCGGTTTAGGTGTCTGTAACTTAGCTTGGGGTATGCTAATGAGGTTTGCATCCCTACCTTATGAAGCCCAGCTCTCTGATTCCCCTTATTAGTCACTGGAAACGCTTCCGTCCCACCTCACCCTTCGGTTAGTTTGTTGGGTGTTATCTCCCATCATCTGTGTGTTGTACGTTGTGGTGCTGCTGCAGCAGTCGCGAGACGTTGTTCCCCCTAGTACGTTTTGATTTCGTCCGCTAGCCGCCCGTCTAGGCCGCGTTTCGTTCGAACTCCGCAATTAATTGTGTGACTGAGCGAAATTGTTAATAAGCTCTAGGCTAGAACTAATTAGATTTTTACACTAGAAATACATGCATGCAGCAAGTAAGCAACCCCTCGCCTATATTTTCCAAACATCGAATCAACATGAAGTATTTGGAAATGGCCAATATTGAACGCAGACTCGTTCAAGTGTTACCATGCAACACGATATTTTTAAATTTTCAATTTTTTAATATTTTTGTACAAAACGGCAAAATAGTTGAAGGATTAGGACTTTGAGCTATACCACAATGAATTTCCGAAACACATACTGTAGGTATGTTATTCTGCTTTTTGTGTGTTTTGATTTAATGTAAAATTTAACTTGAAACGCTTCGTAAAACAGTTTGAAATGTTCTGCATTCAACTATTAAAACTACATTTCCCGCAAACATAATAAGTTAAAATTGTTCGGTAATTTCAGTTCCGACTACAAATCAATTTGTTCTCCTTTTCATTTTAAGTTTCTTTCTTTAAATTTAAACAGGATAATTTAGTTAGGAAACTTAACAGCTTCGTTGGAATGGAAAATAGTTCATGTTTTAGGCAAAAGTTAAAGCAACAAAATTTATAAACATTAATCATTCAAAGCAAACTTGCCCCATTTTCACGATTTCCCATAGTCCACAAATTTTTCTTATTTCTTCAAACATCAATTGCTTCAAGGCTCATTGTGTGAAACGTGATTTTCCAAATATATGTTTTGGAAAATTGAAATCTTACTTATCGCACTCCTCGACAAACAGCCATATTTTTTAGATCAGCGAGGTCCACCCATGAACCATAGTCACGCGCCCGCGATACTTGATAAACTTTAGACTTCGCTAGTGCTTTCCAAATTCCCAGGGTGGTAAATAACCGGGCGGAATTTGTGCCCTCGCCCGGGGCTTACGCCCGTAACGGTGCTCCGCGCCGTTGGCTAGGGAAAAATTATTTTCAATTTTAACAATAAAAAATGCGCTTTGCGCGATGAAATTCGCTAGTGGAAAACAGGCTTTAACGGATAAAGCTATCGAAATTTGTCGCTCAATTTCACTTGAGTTGTGAGGGGGAAAGTAGAACTGATTTATTCGGATGCTCGCAATTCAAAAGAAAGCAAGCGAAATATTTTGACGGCGAAATAATTTTCTGCAGGCGCAGTATGAAAACCTCTGACCAAAATAATTGACTGGCGTTTCGTTCCCATATGTAAAATATGCTCTAAATTAATTATATAATTTCTTTAATTTATGCATTTGGTACACGAACAGAGCATTCCTAAAGAACTGATTATGATTTTGGGGGTTTGTATGAGGGGCTTTTCCCACGCTGTTCAAAAGCTCAATTACAGGATCATTATTTTTTTACTTTAATTGTGAACTAGTAAATCACAAGCAAATATAGCAATAATAAAATATTAATACAAAAATAACAATAAAAAATTTAAAGAATTAAAAAGTATGAAACTATTTCCTTTTCGTTTGTAGATCTCTCGTTTTATATGTCAGTCTGAAATCCTAGAATATTACTCCTATAGTTTAAACGTCAACTTAATGTAGCAGCTGCCTCGTACCCAGGCGTCTCCTTGTAAAAAAACAGCGATGTGCATACGGCGAGTTTACATGAAGTATTGTAGTGGCGAGAGAAGGGCGAATGCCTTAACAGGAAGAGAGCACTTGAAATTAATGAACAATGAATGAATGAACAACTTTATTTAAAGAGGGTAAAAACACATGAGAGCCACATAACTGAAAAACCTGTGACCCTCATATACAATACATACAAAGTTATTAATTCTGCTTTAAAACGTCTAAAAGCTACTTAGTTTTAGAGTAAATATGAAAAAGATCTTAGGATTATAAATTTATATATACAAATTATATACAGTACAACTTGCTGATCACAATAATAATTCAAAGCGATCGATGCCCTTATAAGATTCTAAGAAGTATTTTTTAAGGGCAAACTTAAAGGAATTAACGCTAGGTTTAGTCTTAATATCCTTCGGGAATTGTTCCACATTTTAATGCTGCTGACCGTTACAGATTTTCCTCCCTCAGTTGCATAATTATATTTAGGACACCCTAAATTATATTCGCCATGACGAGTTTGTGTACCATTAATTTTATTGTTTGTTTTAAGTAAGTTCTTAATATACTGCGGAGCTTGATCATGCAGGCTTTTGTAAACTAAAGTGCATTTGTTAAATTTAACTTCGTGATAAAAAGGTATCCTGTTCAGTTTATTAAAATTGGCTATTGACCAGGAGGAAGTGTCAGTTCTTAAAATTACCCGAGCTGCTCTTTTTTGTAATTTAAAAATTCTAAGCAGATCATTTCGCGAGCAGCAACTCCAAATAGAACTACATACATCATAACTGGCTTGACGACAGCGTTGTAAAATAGCTTTCTCTCAAGTAGTGGTAAGTATCTTCGTATCTTTCTCAGCAGGCCGATTTTTTACCAAGGTTTTTACTAAGTTTGTTTATATGCTCTTTGAAAGTTAAATGTTCATCAATGATTACGCCAAGTAATTTTTGTGAAGAAACCAGTTGAATATATATTTGAATCACTTGCTGTAAGAGGTTATAGGAAGATAATTGCATTCGGGATTTAAGGCGTTTACCAGTAATAAGAATTGATTTGGTTTTGTCAGCATTTAGTACCATTCTATTTTTGTCTGACCACTGACATAGTTTGTCTATATCGTGTTGAAGGTTAACTTGTAATTCAGTCGACGCGACAGAGATGTAGGAACTTGAAAAGAAAGTAGCGTCATCTGCAGGGCCTTAGCGAGGGGGGGGGTGTATTTGGGTGGTGGTTAACCCCTTTTGTAAAATTAACATATTCGGAAAATCGGGTTGGCCATTCGGAAAACTATGGCAATAATAGTATAACAGAATTTCAGTTGTTTAGACAGAGAAAATATTATAAAATGGTATTGTGATCAGTATAAGTTATAAACTGATTTACGAAATCACAGCATTTACATGGATAACATTTAACAAATAGTCAATCGGTAAATGTTTTTTCGGTTTATTACTTCTCAGGGCCGTAGCAACGTGGGTGGGGTGAGGGGGTAGGGCAGCAGCCCTTACAATAATTTGCTGTATCATTTAAATAATATACTTTTAAAATACTGACAATTGATTAATTTTAAGCGGCTACATTATCCACGACAACCCGCAAAGAGTCATATTACCCTGCAACTTCTCCAGTGTAAAGTTAATTATATACGCCTTCGCCCATTTAGTACTACTAAATTGTAAGCAAATTGTAACAGATTTCAACATACTAAAACTCTATTTACAACACGAACAGTCGAACCGACTTGACCACGTAGCTCAGTTGCATATGACAGAGCATTGGACTAGTATCCCAAAAGTCGCGGGTCCAAGTCCCTCATTTCCGCCATGGCCAAGCAAATTTTCAGCTTGCCCGGTGTGGATGCACACTCACAGTAACATCACAAACATCATATTCACCTGAGTATATAACACCGACACACACACAAAAATCATATCATAAATTACACTGATATCGAAGGAACTAGATTCAGTTCCGAAATATCAAGAAATCGAACCGACTTGATCACATAGCTCAGTTGGCAGAGCATTGGACTAGTATCCCAAAGGTCGCGGGTTCGACTCCCACCGTGACCAACCAAACTTTTCACCCGGTACTGTGTGATGCATACTCGGAGTAACATCACAAATATCATACTAAAACTCTGTTTTCTGACCATCAGAATTCTGTAAAAACTTCCCCCAAAGTCCAGGAAATGGCATTTCAGAGAATGTAAATTTAAAAATTTCCTTGGGCCTTCGGCCCTCGTTCCCATCTCCAATAGAAAAGAGCTTCCTACGGCACTGCATGCTTCTGTAATATGTCTGTGCGTACAATATGTGTATTTTTTTTTGTAAGTTGCATCTTCATTTTCCGGATAGAAAACACTTTCGTGGCTTCGTACGCCATGAAATATTCGGAAATTTTTTTCGTCATTCGGAAATTTTTGGCTTACACTACACCTCCTCAATTCCCAACTATACATGCTAGCTACGGCCCTTGTCGAATCGGCGTACACATCAACAGTTGAATTAGGTATGTTTGGAGGTAGATCATTTATGAAAGCAAGAAAGAGAAGAAGACCAAGAATGCTACCTGAGCGACACCATGTGTTATACACATGGGCGTACCGGAAGGAAAAATTAGGGGCGGAAAGAAAAATTGCCCGAATTTTCGTGATTGTGCCCGACTAGTACCGAAAAAATTTTTCCGGAAAAATACTCTTGGCGACCAAATAATTTTGGCGACCTCCCCCCCCCAACCCCCACCCCCCGTCGCCAAAAAAATTTTGGTCAGTGTACCATTCTAGGGGTCAAAAAAATTTTCCGGACATACTAAAATTTTTCGTAACATGACACAACTTTCCCAAAATACACCACGTTTGCCAAAAAATTGACTAAATTTTCGACAAAATTAACAGAATTGTCCCATTTTTTTTATAAGAAACCAAAATTGCCCGACTGTTAATAGAATATTGCCCGACTGCCCAAAAAACTGGGGGCTACCGCCCCCCCGCCCCCCCCCCCGCATTATTTGCGAATATTTAAAGCTATTAGTGATAGCCATCATCAATTTTGGCCAATGTAAGGAAGCCTCACATATCGATTTTGTCCATGAGAAACGTCATATGTTCGTTTCTCTGGAGACCCCCCCACCCCCCCTTAGAAACGTCACACATAATTATCGATATTTTGTTCTTATAGTACACATGAATAAGGTAATTTTCTATATACATTTTTTTTCGGTCGGCTATTGGCGATGCTTCCGCGAGGAACATGACATACTCTTTTTTTATTATAAATATGAACTTCAAAATTTTCTCAAAACAACTTTTTTGCATGAAATTGAAATATTGATAATTTTAGCGCGTTTTTCTTGAAATTTGAGTGTTTGCAATGCAAAGAAGCCGTAATAATATAAATGTATAGGTATAGAACAGGTATGGTATGGTATGGTATTACGAATGTATAGACTGCTGTTGGTATCAAATTATTTTCTTTTTTATATTCAGTAAAGATAAAAACTATCGAATTTTTCCATGATGTTTACAGAGAAACGTCACAGCTGCCAACCCCCCCACCCCCAAACGAACATATGACGTTTCTCGTGGAAAAAATCGATATGTGAGGCTTCCCTAAGCATTAACCTTGAGCGTAATTGAAATTAACAACACATGCAGCTATATTAACAGACTTCCTACGGCCATGCATGTGCGCAAGTGAGAAATTTTCCATCAAAAGCACCTGTATTTTCTCCCACCCGAAAAAATTGTATGTTATCACTAATGATAATAAAAACAATCTATATGGAAATGTTTGTTTTTATAAGTCATGTTTGCATACGCTTATCTGTATTTTGATATATCCGTCACGGATGTTGTATTTGAAAAGATCAAAATATTGTTCAAATTTCCGAGACTAAACACGACTACTTGTTTTCCTGATAGACAAGTTTTGTTGAATAATAGAGCGAATTCAGAAGTTGTTATTTTAGAAACATTCTTGGTTAATTCTCCATCATTGTGCAAAGAATGGTAAGTTTGTTATAATTATTATACAGTTAGAAATAATAAAATGCGTTCATCATGAACAATATTGAATTATTATCTTAAATTCGGTCTTGTTGATCGATAAAGTGTATTATATATATACATATATTGATTGAGAGAATACTGCTATACGACATCTTCATGCGTTATTAAATATACCCCACTCGAAATATTTGGGTTTTGCTGCACCGCGAAAAGGATATAATAATACAATTTTCATTGTCCTGCCTGAGAGGTAATTATGGAAAATCTTGAGATAGGTATCATCCACTCCATAAGCGCTTAACTTTTGCAATAAAAGCTGGTGGTCAATCAGGTCAAACGCCTTGCTGTAGTCTACGAAAACAACGCCAGTAACGTGGTTTTTATCAAGGTCAAGAAGGATTTGGTCCAGTAAGCGAATTATAGCAGTTTCAGTCGAGTGGCGTTTCCGAAAGCCAGATTGCAAGCCGTTTGGGAAATTGTTATTGGATAAGTGTGAATATAGTGCTTCGTAGAGATGTCTTTCGTATAATTTTGAGAGAATCGGAAGAACAGATATTGGTCTGTAATTTTGTTTGTGTTCTACACTTCCTTGATTATTAAAATGGGGGTGACTTTGGCTACTTGCTTTGACAATTTTGTCTGCGGAGATTGCGTTTGGATAAAAAGTTGCCGACTTCACTAGTTCTCTACATGCCGCATTATTTGCGAATATTTAAAGCTATTAGTGATAGCCATCATCAATTTTGGCCATTGTAAGCATTAACCTTGAGCGTAATTGAAATTAACAACACATGCAGCTATATTAACAGTCTTCCTACGGCCATGCATGTGCGCAAGTGAGAAATTTTCCATCAAAAGCACCTGTATTTTCTCCCACCCGACAAAATTGTATGTTATCACTAATGATAATAAAAACAATCTATATGGAAATGTTTGTTTTTATAAGTCATGTTTGCATACGCTTATCTGTATTTTGATATATCCGTCACGGATGTTGTATTTGAAAAGATCAAAATATTGTTCAAATTTCCGAGACTAAACACGACTACTTGTTTTCCTGATAGACAAGTTTTGTTGAATAATAGAGCGAATTCAGAAGTTGTTATTTTAGAAACATTCTTGGTTAATTCTCCATCATTGTGCAAAGAATGGTAATTAAGTTTGTTATAATTATTATACAGTTAGAAATAATAAAATGCGTTCATTATGAACAATATTGAATTATTATCTTAAATTCGGTCTTGTTGATCGATAAAGTGTATTATATATATACATATATTGATTGAGAGAATACTGCTATACGACATCTTCATGCGTTATTAAATATATCCCACTCGAAATATCTGGGTTTTGCTGCACCGCGAAAAGGATATAATAATACAATTTTCATTGTCCTGCCTGAGAGGTAATTATGGAAAATCTTGAGATAGGTATCATCCACTCCATAAGCGCTTAACTTTTGCAATAAAAGCTGGTGGTCAATCAGGTCAAACGCCTTGCTGTAGTCTACGAAAACAACGCCAGTAACGTGGTTTTTATCAAGGTCAAGAAGGATTTGGTCCAGTAAGCGAATTATAGCAGTTTCAGTCGAGTGGCGTTTCCGAAAGCCAGATGAAGCCGTTTGGGAAATTGTTATTGGATAAGTGTGAATATAGTGCTTCGTAGAGATGTCTTTCGTATAATTTTGAGAGAATCGGAAGAACAGATATTGGTCTGTAATTTTGTTTGTGTTCTACACTTCCTTGATTATTAAAATGGGGGTGACTTTGGCTACTTGCTTTGACAATTTTGTCTGCGGAGATTGCGTTTGGATAAAAAGTTGCCGACTTCACTAGTTCTCTACATGCCGCATTATTTGCGAATATTTAAAGCTATTAGTGATAGCCATCATCAATTTTGGCATTGTAAGCATTAACCTTGAGCGTAATTGAAATTAACAACACATGCAGCTATATTAACAGTCTTCCTACGGCCATGCATGTGCGCAAGTGAGAAATTTTCCATCAAAAGCACCTGTATTTTCTCCCACCCGACAAAATTGTATGTTATCACTAATGATAATAAAACAATCTATATGGAAATGTTTGTTTTTATAAGTCATGTTTGCATACGCTTATCTGTATTTTGATATATCCGTCACGGATGTTGTATTTGAAAAGATCAAAATATTGTTCAAATTTCCGAGACTAAACACGACTACTTGTTTTCCTGATAGACAAGTTTTGTTGAATAATAGAGCGAATTCAGTTGTTATTTTAGAAACATTCTTGGTTAATTCTCCATCATTGTGCAAAGAATGGTAAGTTTGTTATAATTATTATACAGTTAGAAATAATAAAATGCGTTCATCATGAACAATATTGAATTATTATCTTAAATTCGGTCTTGTTGATCGATAAAGTGTATTATATATATACATATATTGATTGAGAGAATACTGCTATACGACATCTTCATGCGTTATTAAATATACCCCACTCGAAATATTTGGGTTTTGCTGCACCGCGAAAAGGATATAATAATACAATTTTCATTGTAGCCCTACATGCAGCACCGATTTTGTGCCAATAAATTTAACACGAATTTTGTGTTAGTAACCACTATATTTACATTCAGAAATTCGGGAAATTTTTCCCTGACAAGTTCACTAGACATGTTTTATTTGTTCGTATCAAGGAGCCTTGTACGGCCGCCAAGGAAAGCCGAAAGCTTCACAAGCATGTAGAAGAAATATTTCAGCTATGGGTTTGACAAACAGAAGGCGGCCTTGACTTGAGATATAAGGTTTAATTTAACTCAAAATTCCGTGTGCATGCGAGCAACAAAACTTGTCAGGGAAACTTTTCAAGGAGAACATGCATGTGCGACTTAAGTGTATTGAAACACCAATAACAAATCCATATCTACAACTGTATGGATTGATATACCTTATACATGCATAAACGATGCCTATATAATACCGTACAATACCGTGTACTATATAAATAGATTCCTGCATGCGTATCGCACTCGTATCGAGCTGCATGCATGCATGCATGGTATGCATGCACGGGGGAAGCCGCT